TCTTTTAGAAAAAATACAAAATAAGATTAAAATTGTTTAATTTCAAAGTCTAAAAACTAATTTTAAATATTCATAAACTTCTACAATAACTTATTAAAAATTTATTAAAAACGTCAATTCTGTTAAATTATTTCAAAGTAATCAAAACAATAAATTAATTTATAAAACTAACAAAAATTTTATTGTGATTTTTATGAGCAAAGAATATAAAGTAGAAAAAAGAATAAAAAATAAAGAAGATTGGGCAGTGTTTGATAAAGTATTTGATAAGAAAATAACTAGAACGATAGAAAACTTAATAAGTAATAAACAGATGATTAATTTTCATTATGGTGCAATCCAATCTGGTAAAGAGGCAAATATTTATAGTGCAAAGATAAACAGTTACACCTTAAATAAGTCCAAATTTACAGTTAAAGAGGAACACAACAATAATGAATGGGTTAACTGTGTCATAAAAATTTACAAAACATCAACTATGACTTTTAAAAATAAAAGCAGTTATATAGTTGATGAAATAAGATTTAAGAATTACTGTACTAGTAACAGTAGAAAAGTTATAAAAGTTTGGGCTGAGAAAGAAGTTAGAAATTTAAATAGGTGTATTAAAAATGGTATTAAAGCACCTAAACCTTTCTATTTAAAAGATTCACTTTTAATTATGGAGATGATTCAAAATAAAGATAATTCTATAGCTAATAGATTAGTAGATGCAATTGATAATAATTGGGATGATTTGTATAAAAAATCACTAAATATTCTATTTGATTTGTATAACAAAGCTAAACTGGTGCATGCTGATTTCTCTTCTTATAACTTGTTAGTGGCTGATGATGAATTATATGTAATTGATTTAGGACAATCAATCGAGAGAACACATTTAAATAGCAACTCATTTCTTATAAACGACATTAATAACAATAATAATTATTTTAAGACTAAGGGTGTAGTTGTTAATGATACAAACGAAATTTTTGAGTGGATTACTTCTTTGAAAATTCCTCACTCTTTAGAAGGA